TGGTTAAACCCCTAATTCAAAATTGTTATGTTGATATTAATATTCYAATACAATAAGAAAGCCAAATTTAGTTTACATCGTATACAACGAATGTTCCCGCACATAGTGCGGGTGAAAATCTAGTTTTTTTTATAAGACAAGTCAACTCTTTCTCCTTTGACTCTATTTTGATAGTTCTACAAAATTATATGTTTTGCAACAATAACTTTACTCTATAGAGTTGATGATGTAACTACAGTAGAAACTCGATTAAATAATAACTCGATAAAGTATTATTGGCCCTATATTATTAATTTATAGAGTTCTCAATGTATAGTCTTCTTTGCATAGGGAAAACCAATTAACCTTTTTTTTGTTTTACATTCACACCAATGTAAGATGAAAAACACTAAATTGTGGGCGTCGGATCTGCACATTAAATTTGTCAAGGGTTGTTAAGAAAATGGAGATTTCAGGAGGCGGACTCACTAAGAACACGACCGATTATGAAAATAGTGGTCTTTATTGATGTCTCTGTTAAACTGTTATTACAAGAGAGTTTTCTTTGAGAAAAGTTCTGACCCCCTTTCAGGATGAATACAATGATGTATTTATAGTATTCCTAAGCTAGGTCGACTATTGGACTTGGGTCTGGCTCATTAAGCTTTGCCTATCTCATGTAGCTACAATTTATGAACAGAGCAGCAAACAAAACAGATTTAACCCCTTAACACATGCTACATAATACTAAAGCAACATGTGAGAGATGATCAGTGACGTTCCCCTTTCTTTCCTCCTACAATGAAGGATACTTATAAATTGTAAACAAAATAGAAGATATATTCCCACAAAGATTAAAACTTGAGTTGGCCCTGATTGCCACTACTTACCCCCTAAAGATATACCAAAAACACTTGTACTTGTAACCACATCAAAAAGAACTTTTATGCACTTGATTCTAAACGGATTCTAGAGAAAGTACCGGTGACCTGTCCTCCTCTTTCCTCCTACATCAATGGGGACTACTTAACTATTATTTGAAGGCAGAGTGAGAAACGTTTCGAGCAAAGATTGAAACTTTACCTATGTTGATCATGGCTTAGGTTGAGGTTTAGGGTTGACATCGAAGACCCTTGTATCCTTTGGAAGGTAGCGAACCCTAGCCTGAAATGGTATCGGCTCGCTGTGCGGAGAAGCATCTTCTTCGTCCCGTGATTCTACGCTTGACGGAGACGACACCTCTTCCAATTTCTCATCGTCGTCCTCCATTTCTCATGTTCTTCCAATTTCTCATCGTCCTCCATCATCTGATGTTCTTCCGATTTCTCATCGTCCTCCACCTTCTGACGTTTCGAATCACGCTCGACGACCTTCGAATCCATAAACAAGACTTGAATGCGAAACCCTAATTCTTCTTTCTCCTGTCTTCTATCCTCGAACAAGGGAAAGGTCGCTCTTTTATTTATTTGGGCTTTGCGATCTTTAGCTAGCTCCCTTGTAATTTGTTGTTTGACTTCGTAACCTAGGTTGCATGGAAACTCTACGCAAGGTCTGTTTTCCGTTTCAGAAACATTTCGAAAACGAAAATGTGTTTCTTAAATATTTCAATTTGGAAACGTTTTGAAAACGCAACTTTTGGTTTTAGAAGCAAATTGAATAAATACTTTGAAAATATAGAGATTTGTTTGTCGTTTTTAATAAGTTTTAAAACCTAATTATTATACACTAATACAATTTTTTTCTCTAATCATTACTCTAACCTAAAAAATTAAAAGAATCGAAGAGATAAACAAGGTATTTTTTCCAATAACAATAGATTTGTGATTGATTATTGAAATCATGAAGTTGTTATATAAACGAAGTATTTTTTGTTCGAGTCGGATTAGATTTATGTTGTTTCAAATATTTTAAAACCATTGATATATTTTGTTTCATGATTTATATATATATACGTTTCCAAAACGTTTCCGTTTTCTCTTTTTTAAAGAAAAATCGTTTTTGCGTTTCCTAACGTTTCGCTTCCACGTTTCCATTTTCGATTCCATGCAGCTTAGTTCGTAACACGTATATAAAACCGA